TTTAAATGAGATATAAATTTATAATTATATTTAGTTTTAAATTATAAGTTTTAAATTAATATATTTTTATTTTAGTGGAAATATTATTATAATTATTATAGTTAATTAAAAAAATATTCAGATAAAAATCTTATTCAATTATATGGATTTACTTAAGATCAAAATATTTTAAATTATATAATAATAATGAAATATGCACAAAATAATAATTTAAGAAAAAATTTATTAAATTTAGTTAAGAACAAATAGATTATTAAATTATTGCAATTAAATAATATTATTAATGAACTTAATGGAATACATCAAAAAAACCTTATTCATTGTGATTTTTATCATGGTAATATTTTAAATATTAGAAATAAAATATTATCTATTAGTGATTTAGGATTATGTAAACCTGTAGATTATTTTCAAATATCTAAAAAAATGAAATTTATGGTGTTTTACTATTTATAGCTCCTGAAGTTTTAAGAGATTAACTTTATATTTTAACTAGTGATATATATAATTTTTCTATGATAATGTGGGAATTAATATTAAGAGTTACTTTATTTAATAATGAAGCTCATGATTTTTAACTTAATTTAGATATTTGTAAAGATAAATATCCTAAAATTATTAAAAATACTCCTAAATGTTACATAAATTTAATAGAAAAATGTTGGGATAATAATTCATTAAAAAGGCTAATTGTATTAGAAATTAAAAAGATTATTAATAATTGATATGAAAATATCAAAAAAAATAATTTTGATACAGTTTTAAAAGATGATATTATAGATTTTTATAAAGTAAATAAAACATTAAAACAATATACTAGTCGAAATAAGGCAATTCAGACACGTGACAATTCAGCTAAGTTTAAGAACAATTTTGACCCCAATTTGAATTTTACTCAAAATCATCTATAATTCGACCATTACGATTTACATCCGAATTTAGCAAATTTAAAATCATCTATAATTCAACCATTACGATTTACATCTGAATTTAGCATATTTTACTAATTTATTAATATAATGTAATAATTATTATCATATCAATAAATCAATCGCAATATTATATATAAATATAATGAAAATTGAACATTTAGCGAATATGGTATTTTCTGTTAACTGGATTTACAGCTAAATATTCTCTTGCATTCTCCCTTTCTAAAATTCGATAATTAACTGAAATAAATCGACTAAGAATATGGTATATCAGAATAATACAATCGCGCGATTCTTGATAAAATTTAGTACACTAAAGCTCAACATTACAAGTATCGCCACTGTTGAAATAATATCAAGTTTCAGAGCTTGCGAGTTGATACCATCGAATATATGTTCAGCAGGTCCGTTTGGTAAGTCAACCATATGTTTAAAAAAATATTGAATTTGACTAGGATAACATTCAACATTGTCATCCTCTGTTATGAATTTGGCCAAAACAAATGAACTTTTCACATGACGAGACGACATTTTTGAGCCGAATGTCTCAGAGCCAATTCTACATCTTTCGAATTGGCTTATTTTGATATGAATAATAATCGAATCATCAGGTTCTTTTCCAAATGGTCTTCGAAAGTTGTAATGTACATAAGTTGCTTTATAATATTCGACCATTAAGTTGAGCATTTCTTCTGACATTAAAACATTTTCTGAACAAGGACCTAGCATTTCTCCTGGAAATCTTTCATATCCATAAATCAGAGATTCTTTAATATTTTGTGAGTACAATAAAAACCGTTCCATTTCTTCCGAAGTAAATTCATCAGTTTCAGAAACTGAACCAACTGAAGGTCTAGTATCAAATATATCAAGACCTTTTGTAGTAACTGCTCTAGAACTAATAATATTATCGATTTGGTTATCATTCATAATGCGACGCATGAGCTCTGACTCGATTTGCCGATGGCTATTAAGCAAAGAACCTAAAAAACCAATTTAGAACAATGAGTAATTTGTCAAGTAATTTGTTATAAGTTCTTAAAGATTAACTCACCTAGCATGCCATTCATACGCTTAAACGAAAAACACCAAAAGGTGTAAAGCGGTCTAAAATCTTTTGCACATTCATACAAGTGAAGCGAAAGGTGAAGGTTCGGAGTGATAAAGTCTCTACCATAAGCTTGCTCAATTAATATTATAATCTCAACCAACTTTTGGTGAGCTTCTACCATTAAATCAGATTAAACAATTCGTCCCACTAAAATTGAGCAAATTTTTACAAAATATGTGAGAATCTTCCTATCTACTTCAAAAAGATATTTCCAGAGGGAAACGGTAGCATAGACGGTGAAAAATATTCATCACTGATCAGCTGTAAAATTCATGAATCCTTTACCACATTCCACTTTTCCCAGAATTCTGCCTATGTCAGCTGGCACTTGAAACTGGTTCATTTTTCTTTGAATCTCTCTTAAGGATTCTGGTTTCAAAACTTTTTCATCAACCCAAATCTGCTTAACTATCTACCTTGCAATGCCCAAGAATAAACAATGCATCGGGTTTATTGCTAAAAAACGAATTGGATCAAAATACGACAACTGTAGTAATTCGGACCATCTTGTACTAGTAATCCTTACAAAACAATCTCTTGAAGCACTTGAATTACAATGACGCCATCTGAGAGCATTCTTTCGATACTGTTCCACATTTCGACTGATAAACCAATCTCCCATATTATCCATTCCGGCGAAATTATGCTTATGATTTTCATAATTTGCTTTTTTCTTGCATCTATAACATGACGAAAGAGCCGAAATATGTCCGCAAATTTTTCTTGCTGTGGGGATATTGCAAGAAACAAGGACTAAGGCTGCACGAATATTTTTACTTTTTTGATACTTAAACGTTCGAGGTAGAGTCACTCCGCGCTATAGCAATTCTAAATTGTTGACAATCAGCGCCAAATAATGGTTAATTTTATGCAAACTTACTTCGTGAGGTCCTGGTAATATCCTGAGAATTATCATATTTTTGCGCTTAAAGCGCACATCTCATGGTAAGTTACATATAGCAGCATAAATTACGCTAATGTTATGAGTGGTTCCGTCAAACGGCTGGAACTAATCTAGGTTCAGCATAAGGCCAAGATGTGAATCGGCAATATTGGGTTGAAAAAAATTTGGCGAACCTTCCTCATTTGTATCTTTAAAATTTCGCCAAACTTGACCGTCGTAGATATCAGTTAAAATATTATCGAATTGTTACTGATTTGACCAATAATGCAAGTTTTTTTCAAAATCAGAACGGCAATATATAGATGCTAGTTGTTTTCTAATGCTAGCAAATAGAAATATCTTTTCAGATTGAATTAAGACATGACTATATAATAACGATGCTTTTTCTGACAAAAGTGTTTGACATTGTCTTAATTTTTTAGTTTTTGAATTAGGGAATTCGACATGGCTACATTTCATAACTGCAAGATTTCCACTTTGTCTAAATTCTTCTACTTCATCCTTGTTATATAGTTTGTGGCATTTTGAGCATGCTACAAAACTATAGTATTGATTCTTTAACCCAAGAAAATTTCTTGCTAGGTATAAAGTACCAGGAAATTCATCAAAATCAGAACTACCAATTTCTGTCAATAACAGCTTTATGAATTTAATTAACGATTCTGTTGCGGTTTCTGAAATATTAAATCTTCTGCGAAAGCTCATTATCCACAGTAAGATCGACAAAAATTGTGGATTATTGGTCATTTCTAGATGAATTTGATCTTAAAATGGCTCAAATTCAGGAGGGAAATAATCCTCGAAAATTTCAGCATATTCATTATCATCATTGTTGTCACTATTGCTTTTGCTTTCATGAGAATCGCTTAATTCTTCATCGGTAGTGAATAATTCAGGGGTAACTTCTTGTTCGTTAATGATTGTTTATTGATTTACATATCTTCTTGATTGTTGACGAGGTAATTCTTCTTCTGTTTCCTCTACTTCCATTCATTGGTTTACAGCTTCATCATCGTTCCCGAATTTTCATTATGCAATATTAGATTATCTTCTAATGATGGTTCTTCTAATGATGGTAAAGGAGTATCTTGAATGACTTCTGAATCTTAATTATCTGCTGAATTTTCTTCGATCTCATAGAGCACTTTTGTACAAATATCTACCAAATTGCCATTACATTTAGAACAGTCACATCTAACCAATCTTTTGCCATATGAACGTGTAACAGGAGTTTGTCCTTCAGATTCCTCATTGAGTATTCTAGAAACTGCTCTACTTTTACAAGGAGTATGAGTTGTAATTGTTTCTTCATTATCGCTATCATCGCTGAGTAAAGCAGAAACTGTTCTCCTTCGTCGGCTCATTTTACGAAATAATTTCAAAGTTGAAGTTAAATTTTATAATAATTGTCTTGATTTGAATTTTATAATAATTGTTAATAATTGTTGTCTTAATATATATATCTATAGTAAACATCTTATGCTGCACCACTAATTTCGCAAGGTCTAATTTTAGAGCAAATCATGCAAAAATCAATTAATTGTGTAAGAAACTATTTAATTATGTAAAAATAATTTTAATAGTAAAAAATACATAAAAAATAATTTAAGTATGTAGAAATAATTTAAGTATGTAAAAATAGTTTAAGTAAAAATAGTTTAATTAAGTGAAAATAGTTTAATTGTGTAAAAATAGTTTAATTGTGTAAAAATTCGAAAGTTAATTATTCTGATTAAGAGAAAGCTTAATAATTTTGAAGATAAAAGGTGGCTGATTTTTAAGCTATAAAAGCCTGCTAAATTCAACTCTCTCTTCTCTCTAACTCTCCGTTAAAAAAAATCGATTTATCTCTAATAAATTTACTCTCTAACTCTCCATTAAAAAAATCGATTTATTTCTAATAAATTTACTCTCTAACTCTCCGTTAAATAAAAATTATTTTTCTAGTCATGTCAACTTCTAAAAAAATGGCCAAACGTCACTCTTCATCACAATCTTCTTCGCAAGCATCTGAAATTGAGGTTGAAAAAATCGAATCAATGTTAGAAAGATATGGGAGGATTCAAGTTCTAAAATCATATGTGAAACGTACAGAACTGAAAAAAACAGAACAAACCGTAGAAATTATCGATGATGATAATATTGATGCTGATTTATTATTAGCTGGTATAACTTCTCAGAATATAAACCATTAATTTACTGAAATCTGCAGCTTATTTCTGAATTTGGTTAATTTTAAATCATTTTTATAGAAAATCGTGAATTACGCGCGAAATTAAACAAATTGCGTAATAAACGTTTAAATCTGGAGAAGAAAAATAGTAAAGTAACACAAGAAGCAAAGAAAGTTGGTGAAGAACTTAATAAGATTAAAGAAGATTTTAGTTTATTAATTGACATTAATAACACTTTTAGTAAGAAAAACGAAGAACTGAAGAGAAGAATTCATTCAAATGAAAGTGACGACGAATTTAGACAAAAAAGCGGAAATAAAAAAAGAAACAAGGGGAAAAAAATTGCTAGTGGTAGCGATAATGACAAATCGGATGATATGACGAGAATTGAAACTGAGGAACTAACGGAAAAAGACGAGAAAAGCGCTAGGGTTTGTTAAATTTTGTTAACAGTAGCTGCATTTGTAACAATTTTAATAATTTTTTCTGAATTTCTTATTTATTTTATTAGATCGAAATGAAAGCTGTTTTGAAAACAATTAAGCCCAAATATCATCTAAACTACGAAGAAACGTTCAACGGATTCACAAATATTAAAATTCATTGTGAATTGGTTCCGGAGTTAATGAAATCACTTGGACCTTATAAACCGTCAGTACAGTAGATAATAAGGTGGTTGAACATTTTACATAAATCTCGTCAATCTCAAGCGAAATTAAAGAAATCAGGAAAAATTAACGAAGATTATTGACGTATACATGCAAATAATCGGTCGAACGATGTATGTAAATGTGATTTGATGGCAGTTTTTTCTTTTATTTATTAAAATCATCTAAATTTTATAACAATCAGAAAAAAATAAGAAGGATAAAAGCAGCAAAAGATCTTTTTAGAAAAGAAGATGATCAAATTTTAATGTACGATAAACGACCTTTGTTAGAACTGCTTGCTGACCGTTCGTATTATTCGCCTGAGATAAGCGAAACTGATGACGAAAATCTGACCACTTCGATCATAAACGTGTATGATCTCTCTTGGAGGTCTGAAGAGGTATTACACATTTTAAAAATTGCTTTTCTTTATTTTTTTTTTAAACACAAATTTCGGCTAATTTTTATTATTTCAACTAAATTCAATATACACTAGTTAAAGGATTTACTCCGAAATACACTCGATGGTCATTCAAAGAAAACTCAGACAGTACAACCACAGCGCTCATGCTATTATGACAATGATTTACAAAGTCACGACTATCCACATCCCGCAAAAGCTCCTAGATGGACTTATGTTACCAGACAAAATATGATTTATGACACAGAAGTCAAAGAAAAAACCAGTGAAGAAGATAATAATAATTTGGATAATTACAAAGAAGTAGAAGTAGTTAGTAGTAAAAATGCGGAAAATGTTGCAAGTTAAAATACTAACTAAATTCGTTATAATTTTATATATTTTGAACTTTTTAATTTTTATTATTTCTTTTTTTTTGAAAGTCTCAATATCACGAAAAAAAGACATAGTTTAATCTTTCCTACAAGATTATCAGGCCTGGGGATTACTTTATTAAATTAGTATTTTCTTATTTACGTTTATCTTTATATTTTTATTATTTTATTATATTTTATTGCGATTTTATTATATATATATTTTATCAAAATTAAATATTTTTTTTTGTGGTTGAAACTTCGAAATTAATAAAATAAAATTATATTGTTTTTTGTTGAATTATATTTGAATTTCATATGATTTATATATATATTGAATTTAAGTTGATTTTTATCTGATTTTATTCTGATTTTTATATTCCGAATTATGTCTGAGTGGTAACCATTCAGAATCCAAACGGAAAAACAAATTGGAATGGAATTCAGCATATTTTAAACTCTAATTCAGACTAAAATCAGATGTCTGATTTTAGTCTGAATTGGACCATTTCGACTAGTGATATCAAGATAATAATTTAAATGATATAAAAGATCATTTACAAGTATTTTATACAAGTCTTTACTGAAAGATTAAATAAAACTTTAGATCTTGAAATTAAAAATTCAAGTATTGGTAATTATTTATATATATTTTTAATAATTTTTTTTAATTTAACATATATATTTTTAATTTCATAGAAGCTTTAAATATTACAAATAATGAAATAAGTAAGTAATTTAAATATAAAATTAGATTTATATATTTTAATTTACAGTCAACTCTTGATATAGCGAACTCTTAATATAACGAATTTTTTGAACAAATATAATAAAAATACTCCTGTTATAGCAAATTGACCAATCAAATTTCTTAAAATCTTTACTATAGCCTTATAGTAAAGTTAAGGTCTAAAATATAGAGTTCGTTATAACAAGAGTTGACTGTATTTATAATAATTTATTATTATAATAGATGAAAATAATTAAAATACATTTATAAATATTTTAAATATTTTTTTTCTTTTATAAATATATCATATTATTATAATTTTTATAAAATATTTATTTAATAATATTGTATATAAAGTAAATATTATAAAAATACAATTTATAATTATTAAAATAAACTTTTATTTATAAATTAAAATTTAAAATAAATAAATTATAATAATATTAATTTATTTATTATTATTAATAATAAATATAGCTTGTATTATATAATTAATAATATATAATATAATTTTTTTTAATATGTATTAATATTTATATTAATTATATAATATAATATTTAATTAAAATTTTCTTTACATTATATTTTATAATTTTAATTGACATAATATAGTATGAAATAAAAAACTGGATTTTTTTAAGAAATAAAAAGATGTAGATCTTAGCAAATCTTAGCTAAATTAAGTTTAATTTAAATTATGTAAAATGGATTGTCAAATAAGGTAATATATATATATTTATTTTGTATCATTAATATTAAAATATTTTATTTTTACCTTTCAATATATTCAATTTTTAAAAAAACCTTCAAAATTATTACAATTAAAAATGATGAATTTCAGATAAAAAACTAACCATCAAGTAATTTTACAATTATGGAATTAGAGTATTTAGAATATTAAAAAATCTATTAATATACTAAAATTTTCTTTATAACTGTATGTGATAACCTTATTAAGCTTTATAAATCTAGAATAATTCAGCGTGTAAAAGAAAATAGTTTTTTAAAAAAGATTATAGCTAATGCATTAAAAGCATTAGCCCAATTCGTTCACTATGATTCTTCTATTTTAATAAGGATCTTATCAATAAGATTATCATCAAAAAGTATGGACATTTTATTAATCTTATTTATAAAATTAGATAATATATAAATTTTATATAAGATGAATATTTAATTAAACTTAATAATAAAAAATTCATTTACAAAATTTTTGAAAATCTATTATAAAAGTTATTTATATATATAAAAAATATTTTATTAAATGTTATATTATATTTAGTTAATATAATCAGTTTAATAAAAAAATTTTTTATATTTATTCTTTTATAAATAATAATTTTTTATTATTATTAAATATCTTTAATTAATTATTTATTTATAAAATATTAATAACTTAATTTTCAAATTGTTTATATATATTATCTAAAATATTATAATTTTTTAAAAATATTATCTTTTAAAAACTTTAAACTAATACATATTTTTTTTAGAATTTAATAATTTTTATAATCTGAAATAATCTTTAACTAAAAGGAAATAATATATACTAAAATTATAGATGCCTGCCGAAACCTTCTCAAAATAATTTCGTCATATTCTTTTCTATGTTTTTAATATAGTTTTGACAGTTTCAGTTTTCGTTGTATAGAATGGATTTCGTCGTATCCCTTATTATGATTTTAATATAGTTTCATCTAAGTTTTGACTGTTATTAAGGGGTTTTGTCTCTCATCTATAACTAAAATATAATACATATAAATTCATTCAATATTAAAAGCTTTTTTTTATTAATTTTTATTATAAAAAGGATTTATATTAAAAAATATTTATGAAATAGCAAGATATTCATTAAATTTATTTTGAATAATAGGTGATAAACATTTAAAAATATCAAAATGTATTAACTAGTAAAATATAGACAGAGTTGAAATAGAAAATAAGTAAATATAAAAGATTAAAGAGATAAAGAGAAAAAATATAATAACAAATTAAATTTTATATTATTATATTTTTTTTTTTTAAATAATAAATAGTTTAATTTATTTTATAATATAAAATCAAAATTTTAATTTATAAATTAAGTATTAATAATAAGTATGATATTTTACAATTTTTTAATAAATAAGTAATATTTCATATAAAGTATTTTTACTTTTTTAAAATTTCTGAAGATTGTATAAATATATTTAAATTTATTTTTTTTATTAGTATTAATTTAACTTTTATCTAATATAAAAATATTATCCAATTTTTTAATATTAAGATTTATTATTTTTTTTTATTAAATTTAAATTTATTAATAATTTAAAGATATTAAAAATTTTATTATAATATAAGTAGAATAATTAAATTACTATCTTAAAATAGTTGATTGTTTCATTAAAAATCTGAAAATTAAAATTAAATTATATTTTTATGAAAATCTATTGTTATTTCTTTAATTAAATTAGCTTTAAATATATAAATATATCTTTTTAAATTTAAAATTAATATCAAGTTAAATAATTCAAATTTTAGTAACTTAATATATTTATAATGATATATCTTAAATAAATTGTAATTTTTTTGTATTTTTTAAAAAAATAAATATTTTTAATATATAAAATTTTATTAAATATAATATATAATATAAATTAAATAAACTTATTATAGGTAATCTTAAAGATTAATTGCAGCTGTTAGAATCTTGCAGAGATCTACTAACAGGAGTTTAAGCATAATAAGCTTCTTCATTAAAATAGTGATAGTGTTTGATAATTAAATGTCATATTCTTCAGTAAAAGAAACTACTTTGTTATATAAAGGAGATTGTTTTAAATTTTAATATTAAATTTAAAATAAAGTTTAAATATTACTTGTTATAGATTTCATATTTTTAATAACTTTTTGCACATTTAATTTATTATTTATTATTATTAAAAACTTTATTAAATTCTTATTTATCTAATATTATAAATAATGAATCTTCAATATTCTTAGCAATATGAAGGTAGAAATATATTTAACTGAAAGAATAATTTTATAAAGTCGAAATTCAGTAATAAGGTATAAATATATTATTTCTGAAAATTTTTTTCTGCTTAAAGATTTACAAGTTAAGAATATTAAATTGGTATTTTTTAATTTTTTATAATCACTAAAATAGAATAATTATATGCCTAGTAAATGAGTTTCTTTATATATTTTAGATGTAGAATTTGAATTTTGAATCTAATTAAAAATTTAATTTTTTAAATATATTAGACTTAAATAGTAATGAATAGTTAAAAGTCAATCTGTAAGGTATTAACATAATTAAAGTTAACATTATTTATGATATTAGAATTTTTTGAAAATGCATTTACAATATTTTGATTTTGATTTATATGCATTTTTTAAAAAAAAATTATAAATTATTTAATTATTAAAAATACATTTACATTAACTTCTTTTTGTTCTTTAGTTATTTCATAAACATTTGTAAGATATTCAAAACAATTACTAATAGATGTACTAACCTTATGTCTTTTCATACTTCTTTCCAACTATTACTTCTACTTAACAAATTGCATACTTTACTTCTTTTTAAAACAAAGTTCAAAATATTTTCAGTTCCAACTTCTAACTTTACTTTCTCATTTTACTTGACCTTTTTATAGCTTAGTTACTCTGATTCAGTGTCACTATTATCATTAGATGGTTCTTCAAATTCATTAATCATTATTGATTCAAAAATATAAAAAAATAACTTATTTAGGATTTTTAGCATTTTATTTAACGTGACATATATGATACTACGATCTACAGCATATACATTACAGTATTGTGTTCAAAATAGATATTTCCGTATTATGAATTTGATCAGTTGACCGAATTTCGAATGAACAGACCAACACCTCAATGTATAATATACAAAAAGTTTTGTCTATTGCGCCAATAAGATCAACCAATCAAATTCTATTTACAGATTCCAAAAATACAGATTTATTTATTCACATTTGAATGTAACATGATCCCTTTTACCCTTCCCATTCTTCCTCTCAGCGGTGGCCAAAATTTCTACAGTGCCAAAATTTAAAATAAAAATAATGGTCGTATCATCATCATAACCGTCAATTTCAGATTCTATTTCCCAATTACGAAGTAATTTCACTCCTGGTTCATCACAGAATTTAACATTATGACGGTTTGTAACATACATATCAAAACTAATATTACTTTGCGTTAATGAGGATGGTTTATAGTATCTAGTAACCTTTTCATTTGTTGAAACTTGGTTACCA